CACCCTCTACTTTGGGACAAATCCAAACAACTTGCTGTCTGGAGAGCCGAAACACAGACCACCCTCAAGACAGATACTCACACCAACAAACTCAGGAAACTACAACAATGCCAGAAACCAACTCCCCCTCCCCCACAGCCACACATGAAACAAACATTGCACAACATCTCAGACAAGATCCTCACTGAAGCTGAAACCAAGGTCCTTTCAAAAGGATTCAACTTTGCTGTCGCTCCCAAACACATCCCCACAGAAACCATCATATGTGGAGTTGAAAACAGCCTGACCAAAACCAACCCTGATGATGCTAACAAAATCAGACTCGAAATCACCAACATCCTCTGCACTAGCAAACCACCCAAAAGCAACTTATCCAAAGAAGAACAAACTGCACTACTTAACCTGAAAGAAGACACCAGCATAATAATCCTACCAGCAGACAAGGGCAATGCGACAGTGGTTATGAACACATCTGACTACCAAACCAAGCTAACCAACCTACTCCAAGACCCCACATACAAACCCCTAAAGACAGACCCCACCACCTACCTGGAAAAAACTACCAAATCCAAAATAAAAGCCTCCCCCATCAGTGAAGAAATCCAGCAACGAATCATACCCAGAGAAAAATCATCCAGATGCCCCAAGCTTTATGGTCTCCCCAAAATACACAAAGAAGGAACCCCACTCAGACCAATAGTCAGCTCCATAGGCTCACCTCTACAAAACCTAGCCAAATTTCTCGCCAAACAACTACAACCTTATGCAGAATCCATCAACTCACATGTAAGAAACTCATTCCAGTTCATCGAGATCATAAAGAAACAAAACTTACAACCTAGCGACCTACTAGTAAGCTTCGATGTCATATCCCTCTTCACCCAAGTGCCAATAAAAGAAGCCTTGACAGCCATCCAAAACAAATACAACCCCCCCAAGCACATCCTAGATCTAACCAACCACTGCCTATCCAATACATACTTCACCTACAATGGACAAAAATACAAACAAATAGAAGGAGCACCCATGGGATCACCCCTCTCACCTGTCATCGCTAACCTCTACATGGAACACTTTGAAACACAAGCTCTAGAAAAATACGACCACAAACCCAAACTCTGGCTAAGATATGTAGATGACACCTTCATAATCTGGCCACATGGGAAAGAAAAACTGAACAACTTCCTCACACACCTCAACAGCCTACACCCCAAAATACAATTCACCATGGAAACAGAAGCCAACAACCAACTTCCCTTCCTAGATGTCTTGGTATACAAAAGATCCAATGGCTCCCTAGGACA